ATGAAGGCCAGCTCTGTGTAGTGTACGGCTTGAAGTGGTCCTATGGACAGATACTCCAATCTCCGCTGTGGAGCTTTGCAACTCCCTCAGGGCTATCTTTGGTCTGTTTTGTTGCCTCTACGATTAACGCCCTCCTTGCCTTGTCCATGAGTTTTGGTGGGCGGCCCTCTCTTAGCAGGTCTGCTGTGGCGTCAATCTTTCCATTTTTTTAATAATGGACGTAATGGTGCTTCATGGGATGTTCAAAGTTTCAGAATATTTTTTTTTTCTTTATACCCCAACCCTGATCTGTACTTCCCCACAACTTTGTCCCTGACCTGTCTGGAGACCTCCTTGGTCTTCATGGTGCTGCTTGCTTATTGGTGCCCCTTGCTCAGTGGAGACTCTGGGGCCTTCCAGAAAAGGTTTAGATTGCACACAGGTGGTCTTTATTAGCCCTGGTGAGACCCCACAAAGCCATGGTGACACCAGGGCTCTGTGGGATCTTGCTAGGGCTCTGTGGGGTCGTGCCAGGGCCCTGAGGGGGTCTCACCAGGCTGGTGCTGGTGATGATTTTTTTCATGAAAAAAAGTGTGCCTTTGCACAAAAAAGGTTGAAAAACACCGCTTTATTTAACTAATTATATGACTTTTGAAGGTTTCTGACTGCACCAGATCTTATGTAGGGGCTTCATACCAAAGGGGGGCGAATACATGTGCACACACCACTTTTCCATTTTTTTTTAGTTATTTTCTTGATTTCACTTCATTTTGGACTATTCCAAAAAAAAAATCCATTACTTTTGCAAATTGTGTGTGTACTAATGTATGTGGATTAAACATGTTTTAAAATATTTGCTCGGGGTTAAGCAAAAGAAAAACTATAAAGGTTTGAACTGGTACAGCACATGAAAATGAGAGAAAAAGGCTCCCTGAGTATTTGTTACCAGTAGCTTAATATGATCAGGCTGCCAAGCAGAACTCCCATCAGTAGTTATTCTACAGCTGCCTGAAGCAGATCCACCACACACAGTGCCTGTCATCCATAAATTAATGAGATTAGCTAAATAAAGCGGCAATGCCCTGGGTACACAGAGTATATAGATATAAGCATTATGTGTAGGTTTACCAGAGCAATCTATTAGCGATAGCAAGATTATAAACAAGGAATGTGAAAAGGTTTCTACGAAGTCAATATATGATACCACAGAGCAAGCTTTTCTTTTCTCCTAGCATCCAAAGCTCTCTCCTCCCCCTGCAGCACCACGCTTGGCCTCCTGTAAGCTTCTATCTTTCTCACTGGGCGCCGGTCTGTATCCCCTCGAATTTCCACTGCCAGCACAGGCGGGGGGAGAGCAATGGGGGTCAGAGGGGACAAAGGCTGGCATCCAGCAGGAAGGAGAGAAGCTGGGGATGCACAAAATTTTTGGCCGCATTTTCAGTCCTTTCCGCATTTTGCCCAAAGCACCACTTTTGGCCAAAATGTTTTGGCGTCTAAAATTTCGGTGCATCCCCAATAATAACCCCCAGCATTGGTTTCAGTGGCCACAGTAATAAACCCCAGCATCGGTTTCAGTGCCCACAGTAATAACCCCCAGAATTGGCATTAGTGGACGCAATAACCACCAGTATTGCTGGTCAGTGTCAGTGCTGTTAAACACCCTCCTCAGATAGCTGGTTAGTGTCAGTGCTGTTAAACACCCTCCTCACCCTGCATTGCTGGTCAGTGTCAGTGCTGTTGAACACCCTCCTCACATTGGTGGTAAGTGGCAGGGATGTTAACACCCCTCCTGCCACTGCACTGGTGGTCAGAGATGATGCAAAGAGCATTCCAGCAGAAGGGTAGCAAATGTTCCCTAAAACCTGACACTGAGGTTTTCTCTAGTTAATTAGCAGGAATGGAGCTAGCTACTAAACAAATCATGCTGACTCCCCTGGATTGGACAGACGGACTCCTAAATTCCATATTGATTTGTCCACCCCTGTGTTACTTTATTGTAGTGTCTGGACAAGCAGCAGAATGGGATAAACCTGGGTCAAAAGCACGAGAACTTTCATGCATGAGGCTGTTTATAATTTTCTCAGGTATATTTTGTTTTTGAACACCATAAGCATTGGATGCTGGATAAAGGGAATGCCTTGGGTTAAGAACAAACAGAGTCCTATGGCTCAAGCATACCAAAGTAATGTCCACAGCTCACAGAAATCAATTCTTCCCTTCAACATTCCAGCACACACTAGGAACCTGAAGTAAGAGGCTGCCTAGCTTCTGTGGGCAGCACAGACAGTACTCTCAAACATTCTGTCATCACTTAGTGCATAGTAAACAAACCCTTTGAACATTAAACTTGTCAAAGTAGCAGAGAAGCATAGGAAATCTTGCAACTGATAATTTAAAATAATATAAAGTGTCAGCGAGTTCAAAACATTTTTTCTCTACATGATGAAGAGCTAAAGCTGAACTTGAGGGAAACCACTAAACACACAGCTAATATACATACAAGTAAACTATTTTACCTGCAAGAGCAAATGCAATTCTGTTCAGCCACTCTTGTGATCAAGGTCCACAAAGTCCTGGAACCCTCTGCTGACTACACATAGTTAGAAAATATAGCTGTGTCACAACAAACCCCAGCTTGTGACTGGACAATGAAGGAGCATCAGGACACTGCTGTAGTCATATCTGTGCTCTCCTGTCCTGAAAGCATGTTCACAGAGTTAGACTGACAGCACTGTGCAAAGCAAGGGATCCCGAATTGGCCTAGCCTGCTACCCAAGCCAATCTATGCGCTGCTGTGTAAGAGACTAAAGGAGGATAACAAGACAGAATCAGGTAAAATGCTCAAAATCAATGCTAACTGCATAAATAGTGATTTGGTCGTGTTTTCAAACATTAAGCTACTAATAGTTTCTTATATCACAGGGACTCCAATTCTGAGATCTTTATTCTTGGGTTTCCAAGGGGCTTCAGCTTGTATAAGAGCATTTGCAGAGCTTTTAGCTAGGGCGGCAGCTAACGATTATTTTAAAAAATCGATTAGATGCTCGATTATTTTTTTCGATTAATCGATTGGTTGCATTACATCTCTCTCTATAATGAGAATAGTTCACAACTATTCTCATAATCTTTTTATCCAATTTAGTTGCGCTAGGATACAATGTTCAGTCACCAGCTGCAACAATGTATACAAGTGTGATCAATGTGAGCCAATATGTTGCGCTTGGTGATACCAAGCGCAACATATTGGCTCACATATTCTCATAATCGATTAGTTGTTGCAGTCCTACTTTTAGCAAGCTTTGTAGAAACCTTTAAGGCCTGTTCAAACCATAGTGTTGTGCCAGGCACACGGGATGTGTGTGTTCAGTCCACACCATTACTTTAAACGGCCCCTCCCGGTGTATGTGTGTGTGTGGGGGGTGGGGGGAGGGGGGGGGGCGGGCAGCAGCACAGTGCATTGTATGGAAATAATGTGTGTTGTGGTGAAAAAAGGTAATGCATGCACTACTTTTTTTCACCACACCGCAACATGCTGCAATGCACACCTGCTGGGAGGTGCAGTGGGGTACCATTCAAATGAACGGCAACACATCAGCGCACCTAGCATGCAGTGCAACACACTAAACAGATGGATGCCATGCATTTCTCACAACACCGTGGTGTGAACAGCCCCTTATATACCATTCAGCTCCAATATGGGAATGCTGTCACTTTAAACAAGCTGCTAACAGGCTTAAAGTACTATATGATGCTTGTTGAAAGCCAGCTGAAGCCTGCCAGATGCTTGTTTAGGAGGACTCTGACATAAGGACTGCCATTGTTGAACTCTTTTTCCCTGGCTGCCATGCTGATCTTTCGGTCGCTGTCTGAGTGACTGACCTGGGCAGACAAAAAAAAATCATGTAAATATATTCTTACATAGCCAAAAGGGATATAAATCCACCTCATGTGTACCAAATGCCTATGTACATCTTGTCATTACCAAATAACAGTACCAGTGACATCATCACTGTGCTGGACATAAGCTGTGCAGAGATCAGAGCTGTGGGAGGGGCCATTAGACTCCACCGACCACAGGCTGCCTACAGAAAAGTATAGGAGAGGGCGGATACAAGACCAGTCAACATGCACAGGAAGCAAGAGCAGCAGTGGCCGATGTTTATTACAGGAAGCTCCTGTGCAGAGGCAACATTTTACATTGGATTACTGCTCAGATCTGGAATACACAACGTACACCAAGATTCAAACAAGAGTACACATGACTCTTGTATTTAGACAATAGTTGCTTATCCCGGAGTTCAGCTTTAACTTAGGGACAAATAGTATTTACTTCAGAGAGCCAGCAATGGCAACCCCCCTAACCTCCCTCATAACAGGGTCACTTTAAAGTGACAATCAGCACCCCCATCAAGATCTGGGTTTAACATTCCCAAACTTTTCCTAAGATTGAGCCCATCAGATGCCGGCAGGTGAATGTAAACAGTCAGGCGCAATAGCCAGACTGCTATTGGCCTTTTCAAATTGCAATAGCCTACTGGCTACTGCACCCGCCCACTGAGCAAAGGAGCGGACCTGAGAGAGAACTTACTCTCTAACTTGTTCTGTCTGATGAAGGGGACCCTGTGTGACCCCGAAACGTTGCATTAAGTGTATCACACCATGCTACTGATACGTCAAATAAACAGACGTATTTGATTCACTATTGGAGTGGCAGTGTCTCTTCATATTCTAGTAGAGTACAGTACACTCCTCAGTTTACAATACAAGCGGGTTACAATGGGTTAATCAGACCATAACCCCATTGCAACCCGAGGAGTGTCTGTATTAAACACAACCATTATCATATATAAATATCACTTATGGTCAAACTTTGACACCCAGCACCACCAGTGACTAAAGAACCACTGACAGGATACACCCCACACCTAACACTGACAGGATACATCCCCTCGTCATTTTTAGTGACAGAAGACTTCAGCCCCCACACTGACAGGCTTCTCCGCTCACACAGCGCCTCTCACCCCGGCAATGAACTCTTTGACGACGTCCAAGTCTCCGTTCTTCAGGGCCCACATCAGCTCCTTATCACACATGGCGGCGGAAGGAGGACACACACCGGCGGCCTGTACACACTGGAGTCTCCGGGCCTCTAGCTGCTCACTTCCCACACACACTGCCGGACCCGCCCCCTGTACGTACTGCGTCACCGCGTACCCCGGAGAGTGACGGCCAACAGTTACGGGTAGGGTATTGGTAAACGCCCACTTCCGGGTCTGCGTGTGAAGTGTATGACACGGTGCCAAAGCAGGACAGGAACAGGCAGGGAAGACAGACAATGGCCTGCCTCATACCCTGCTGTGACCTCTGCTCAGCCCAGAGCAGCAGCACCTTCAATCTGTCTGGGCTGTGGGGACAAGTCCCTGGAAAGCCAGACAAAGCTCTACTTCCCCCAGACACATCTATTCCTGTCTCTGCTTCCTAATGCACAGTGACATTCCAGAATCACCACCCAGGCTGTAATAAAATGAGTGCAGCTCTAATATTGACTGCATTGGTATTGTTCTCTTCATCACCCATCTGGTCTTAACCAATAATAAGTCTATACACACAGTTATCTGGTATTCAACTAACCAGAAAAAAAATCCCCTCTGTACTCACTGATCTGCGGCATGTATTATCCTGGAAATGATTGTGTGTCTATTTGTCTTAATTTGCTTTTGATTACTGCATTTCAGTATTAATATGAAGTCAATACAGAGTTTATGTTATGGTATAGTATAGGGTATGGCATTAGTTAGACCTATATTTTTAATAGTACCTCTCAAGCAACCAGAAACTACATTTATCCGGAATCTACCAATCCCCGTGGATGCCGGATAACGGGGAGTTTACTGTATTCAGTTTTAGAGCTGTGCATTTCTTGTCTGCGCCATAGTTTGAGGCTTCTTTCACAGGTGGTTTGACTAGCTCTGCCTGTCACTATGGGCAGCCGGCGTCCTATGCTGACATGTCATAGGCTTCCACTACTCCCTCCGACGTGCACCTCCATAGTTATGGTGTGTGGTATCATGGCCTTCCTCTGCTGAACATTACCTATTTACATCTCACTGCAGAGAGCGCTGTCAGTCATTACTCCCTGCAGGGAATCCCCCCTTCCCTCTCCGTTCCTTCAGTGTTGGCTGGAGGGACAGCTGGCTCTGGCTGTAGAGTGGAAGAGCCAGCTGTCAATCAGGTGGCGGGGTGGATCCCAGCAGTATTGTCAGGATTGTTCCCAGCCGCAGCGCGGCTCTGCGCTGTCAGCATATAGCAGCCAATAGCCCGCTATATGCTGAGTTTTGGGTCACAGGAGGACATAGTAAATGTTAAAGAGAACTATGACAAAAAAAGTTTGGGCCATAGTTCTCTTTTAAGTACTTCTCCCTTTTCATTCCACTTATTTTACTGTTGCTTTTGTCTGTTTTGTCATTTCTTTTCTTTAAATATCTTGCACTTTAAAAAAAATAATTGTTACGCTTTAGCCCTAAATGCCCTAAATATGGAATGAAAAAACTCTTTCCTCTTGCACAATTTTAAGGCTTGACATGTTTGGTGTCTATTTACCCGACGTGACCCCGTCTTTTATATTTTACCAAAAAATTGGGTAATAATGTTTTATAATTTATTATAGGGGAAACTTTTTTTTTTTACATTTTCGATAATTTTTCCTTACTATAGTAAAAAATAAGAACCCCCCGTAGTGGTGATTAAATACCACCAAAAGAAAGCTCTGCCCCAAAAAATGTTATAAAATTCATTTCAGTACAGCGTTGCATGAATGAATAAATGTCAGTCAAAGTAACGCAGCGCTGAATACTGAAAAATGGCCTGGACAGGAAGGGGGTTTAAAACCGCGGACTTCAAGTGGTTAAATGCTCAAACACTTTTTTTTTAAAACATGCATTGCCCTGCAAAGTATTCTTTAAATTTCTTCACCAAGCAATTACTGTTATCATGTTTCCAAACAATTGACTCCAACTCTCTCAGCCTAGCTTCCCTGAACTTCCTCTCTAGTACAAGATTACAAGGGACAGCACGGTCTCCAGCATCTGATCATCCAAATTCCATTCAAAAACGAAAACTGAATCGAGCATGTGACTTTTCTGGCCAATCAGATGTGTTTTTTGGTTTAATGCATCCTAATGGGTTTTGAGCACTCATTTTTGCAGCAACATGGGAGCCATCTGATTGGCCAGAAAAGTCACATGCCGTAACGAAAATTAGTTTATGATGCATTAAACCAAAATACACAGAAAAGTCACATGCTCGATTCAGTTTTCGTTTTTGAACAGAATTTGGATGGGATCCGAAATTTGGAAACGGAAATTCGGATGCGGACACATTTGGATGCATTGGGATTCGGAAATTTGGATGTGTGCAAATTCTGAATTTTGGAAAATTCGTCTAAATTTCGATTCGGAATGAAACAACATGTCTAATATCTATTTCAATTGTTGAACTGGAGTCCAGCTTTAATTATAATACATACATCAGAGCTGGGATTTTAGGTGGTTTGGGTGATTTTTTTTAAAAACGCTGCTGTGATCATCCAATTCCCTATTAAGACCGCCGTGTGCCTGCGGAAATTCAATTCAATCTTCCTTTTCAGAACACGCCCTCTATTAATTGTCTTTATGTATTCAAATAATTGCATCGAAGTGCATCGACAAACATCTGGTAACGACTCAGGCAGAGGCGCTGCAGTTCAGATCTCTTCCTCGCGGTGCAGATAACAGTCCTAACTGAATCCATTTTGCTGGATTATTACTCTGTGTAAACTGTTAGCTGTGGCGAGAATCTGTCAAATGGTGTAAAGAACGTCAGAGCAGTCACACTCCATAAAACAGCAACTAGATGGTTTTCGATATACTGAAAGACTGGGCCATGCTTCATTGGCAAACTGACTTATACGTGCTCACAAATTATGTCGGAGCTCCGAAGCAGGTAGAATACAATAGAATGCTGCCGAGGAAACTCAAATCCTTTTACTTCAAAATATGGTTTTCTTTTTTTTTTTTTATCCTTTATTTTCAGTTTTCCATTAAATATGGTTTTCTTAAAGGGAGCCGACTGACGTTTGTTTACCAGTCATTAAAATTTCATGTAAGCTTTTACAAGTTGATGTCACTTAAAAAGTCTTTTTCAATCTGCTAAAATCTGTTGAACGCCGGGTAAAAATGAATTAACCCCCTGCAGTGGGGTTACCCCCGCACTGCAAGGGTTAAATGCTTCTGTTTGCCTGGGGTCAAAAATAAAAGTGTTATACTCACCCGATCCTCCGAACCGGCTTGCTCTTTGACTGTTCCAATGAGCCTCTATCTCCCTTCGCTGCAGCAGTCTGAGGTCCCTGAGTCATCACGTTCTAAATACAGTGTGCAGGACAGGAGGACGCCGAGGGACATACCATCGTACTCACCCAAATGCTCCTGATACTTATCCCAATTCCGGAACTTCCGGAAGCTGGGGGCAAGTCATTATACTGATTGGCTGTAAAGCCAGGTCCATGCTTCCTCGTCACCAGGGAGCATGAAGCTGGCTTCCCGGCCAATCAGAAAGCTGGGGGGCGGGTAATGACTCGCCCCACAGCTTCCTGATTAGTTGGGAAGCTGGCCAATCAGGAAGCCAGGCGGTGAGTCATTACCTGCCCCCCGGCTTCCTGATTGTCCAGAAAGCTGGCTCCATGCTTCCTCGTCACCTTGTAAATATCGGAATAAAATACCAGTACTCGTACTCCATACCGAAAAACCAAAATCGGGGCATTCCTAGTTATTTTGGACCCTAGGCAAAAATAAGCACTTAACCCTTGCAGTGCGGGGGTAGCCCCACTGCAAGGGTTAATAACCTTTTTACCCAGAGTTCCTGTGTAGGTTGTAATTATAAATGTATACGAAGGCAGCCATAATAACACTAGGATGTCTGCTTAGTGGTGCTGCACGGTAGTTGTGCATTATCGTTCTACTCTCTTAGAGGTTGTTTACTAGTCGGGGCTTGTAGAGGAGGTAATAGTGCATTCCAAATGGATTTCCAGCCAAGAGGAACCGAGTGGAGAAATTATGTAAAGCAGATAGCACTCCTGTCAACAATCTTAAAATGTGGACTATGACCGGCACATTGAATGTTCAGAGGAGATCTATTCATTGATTATAGTATAATGAACGTTTCAGAGCACATAACTTTCATAGACATCTCTCTCTGAATGTTTGGCCAACAATCTTGTGATTGATACAAAGTTACATTGTTACAGTCTGATCACAGGGCTTCATTCTGCCTGCAGAAGACTGATAACATCTCAGCCTGGCCAGAATCAAGGGGCTCAAGTACAGCATTTTAATGATAAAAGGTGCAGCTTCACTGGAAAATTATAATGTTTCTGTATATTGATATATCAGGATCCGTCCTGATATGCCAGGATACATCCTGACATAATGATACGTCGGGATCAAGTTAAGCAGACTTGTAAAGTTAATTAGAAGTCCACTTTAAGTGTACCATTGGATATCTATCTAAATATCTATAAAAATGTATTCCAAAACCTGAGCTCATAATATTCCCCCGCATGTCCCCTCCCCTGACTTCTCCATTGAGATTGTCGCACAACTATCCATCCCGCCCCTCAGTCCAAGGTGGTAGGTGTAATCCTGGACTCTGACTTCTCCTTTCAGCCCCACATCCAATCGCTGTCCAAATCTTGCCGCCTTCTCCTCCATAACATTTCCAAAATATTTAACCAACCACAACGCCAAGATACTTATTCACTCCCCTGTAATCTCTCACCTCGACTAGTGTAAATCCATCCTCGTTGGCCTACCCTTACTCAGATCTCCCTTCACTCTATGATGAATGTTGCTACCAGACCCACCTTGCCAGCCACTCCTCTCTGCCAATCCCTCCACTGGCTTCCGATTGCCCGAATAATAACATTTAAAATACTAACAACAACATACAAAGCCATTCATTCTGCTCCAAACTACCCTACCAACCTCATCCCAAAATATCACCCAAAACGTCCCTTCCGCTCCTTCCAATACCTTCTGCTCTCTTTTACTTTCTCCATCAACTCATCCCCGCACAGTTATTACGTTTTGTATCACTTGCTCTTCCCTTTTAGATTGTAAGCTCTCACGAACAGAGCCCTCTTAAGCCTCTTGTCTTGAATTATATTGTAC